GAGGAAGCCACGATTTGAATGCGTCAGTCAAAACGATCTCCATTCACTCTCACTGAACTCTAGCCTTAACAGACTGTTGGGGCAAGTGCTGTTAGCGAGCACCTACAAAGGCCGGCACGGCACACGAGGGGGTGGGTGGCCAACACCACGCCCGGCCGCCTTTGTCACCCCAGTGGCGATGTTTACACGTCGAACCAGGTACTCATTTGAGGCTGAATCGACCTAGGGGAGGCCCAGGACCGGTTCAGATAATCGTCGTCGGTGTTGGCCGTGAGCGGGAATCGAACTCGGGTCGCCGGGTTCGTAGCGCAGCGTAGCGCTAACCGCTACCCTACCGCTCCCCACACACACGCGCACACCACTACACACACACACGGACACCACCACGCGCACACACACACACGGACACCACCACACACACGCACAGCCCAAGAGGCAAACAGCTGGGCTGTCTGGCATGAGAGTCGGGTTCCGTTAATGAGCAGAACGCCTTCAAAGCGACCATCACGACACCGCCAGTGCGCCAATGTCACTGCATCCGTGGGGGGGGGGGTGGGGGGGGGGGCACGCTGCATGCACTCCGACTGTTCGTGAGAGTGAACTTAAAAGTGTTTTTCCGTGTGTGTGTGTTTGTTCTCATTTATGTATCTTCAAAATAAATGTGTGTGTGTGTGACAACCTGGGCCACGCAGCACGATGTTGCGTAGCAGCTACGAGAGAGAGTAGGGCCGTTGGTTTCTCCGAGTTGTTAATAGTGACGTGAACCACTCTTTCACGAGTTGAACTCTGTCCACTGCTGGATGAAGGCCGTCTGTCAATCCAGTGCTGGATCAAGGCCTCCTCACGCCGTGTCGGTCACACGGGGGTGGTTAGACCGCACTTTGATTCCAAGTCTGCTCGCGCTTTTCTGTCTTTTTTTGAGCGGCTCATATAAATTGCGTAAACAAAAAAGGGGTTACAATTGGCCATGCTTGAACCGCGGTGTTCAGCGAGGTTTGCCCAGCGGTAGGGAGGGGAACGGGACCGGTTGAAGTGGCGCTGATCTTAGCCGTTGCCAGGAATCAAACTCAGGTCACTGGTTTCATGGTCACCGTTCTTACCTTTCGTTTTCACACCAGGGGGCATTTCATCGATTCGTGCCAGCGTCGATCCTATAGATTCACTTCGCGATGTACACTATGAAGTCTGACCACTATAGGCTCGACACTCACACAACTTTACACGATACATTTAAACCACAATTAGATGCGTACCACCATTGGCTACGTAGAGTCATACAGACTATAGCTTCACGGGACTACAGACCCTATGCAATCACACCACGGTACGCTGTAAGGGCACGACAAAACGACAGCTCTACACCACCGTAGAGTCGGTAACTTCGTGCCACAAACGACGTTCGAAATCTCGCGGCCGCGGTAGATTCACCAGATTCGAAGCGCGACACATTCCGCGCAAACTATGCATTTTGTGATCGTGTCCATATCGTCACGTTGTGGAGACGAGAGAGAAGCACTGCTATTGAACAAATACTATAAACAATAAACTATTTTCATTTTTCCAGGTAAGGCCCACTGAGCAATGTAGCTCTTTTCCAGAAGATACCTGGTCACAAATGATAGCTCAACGAAGTGGCTTATCACGTGGATATTTGAAACAGTCAAATACTATAAAGGCATGTCGATTCTAAATGCGGAGGGAAAAACCGGAGGACCCGGAAAAGAAAACCCACGCGACCACGGGGAGAGAGAGAGACACACAAACTCCAAATATACAGCAGCAGGCGTCAGGGTTGGGATATAACCCACGACCCCCTGTACACCAGGCGAGGTAGTCAACATCTCGCCACCGTGACGCCCTTCAATTGCATCCTTAACACCGCCCCCCCCCTCCCCGAGTGGGAGCTCATAGTCACCCAGAGCCTAATTCCAGCTCTCCGTGCCTGGCGCGAGTTTGGAATTCCCTAGGCAGGGGCTCGCTCGCTGGCTGGCTGGCTGGCTGCTCGCTGATGTCACGGCATCCGTCTGAAGCCACGCTCGGCCCATATGTGGCCAGGAGAACGCACGGCCGCGTACACCACTCTCGCTTACCTGACCGGTCGTCAGTCCATCGGATGCGCTTCTGTGGCCGTCTGGAAAGCTCTTCCTTTCCGATACTAAGGAAGCCGCTGGGGCTATGCACTTTTTAAATCAAGATTGAAAACTCATTTCTTTACAACTGCCTTTTCATGTCGAGCTTGTTATCATTCCCCTGCACCTCCGATTAGCACGGTTGGCTACTCACGGCGCAAAATAAGTTCAACATACGCACGTGCCGTTCGTTTCACCGTACAAAACCCATCGGGACGACGCACGCGAGCACGCTCTGCCTCTTTGGCGAGGGCACGGGCAATGCGCCTCCTTCCCCATGTTTGTCTCTCCACGTGAAAAGCAATGTTTTTCAAAACCTGTACCACGACTCACTGGCCACGCTCCCTTCTGCGAAGTGTATTTGTTTTCCTTAAGCAGGCATTGGCAGAGGTCACAATCGGATACTCGATACCCGTACCCTACCCGATACCTGGCTACCCGCACCCGGCCGGGTACGGGTACCCGTTTGCGACCCTGGTGCGACCGGGTACAGGTACGGGTAAGGAATCAAAACCCGTTTGCGACCTCTGGGCATTGGTTAAGGACAAGCAAAACTCTGCACCGGTTTCGACGTAAACCCCACGTTGGGTTACAAGACGACGCCAACAACAACCACCAAAAAGGGATAGAATTGACTATTAAAAAAAAGGCGATGACCCTGAATAGGGGGCGAGACAGGTTTCTGCGCGTCTAGGCGTTTCGCCACGGGCTCACGAGCGCGCGAGGAGACCCTTGGCGGCTCACGGGGGAGCACGACTGACAAGGAAGCCGGGGGGAGGGCGAGACAGAGAGAGCAGCGAGAGAGAGAGAGAGAGACGGCTTTTGCTTCTGTGCCAGCTCCACTCGGCAAATCTCCGCTTTGGGGTTGTACCCCCGGAGACTTGAAAATGGCTGCTCTAACAGCCTATCATTTTTCACACCGCGGATGCGTGCGCCTCACTCATTTCACTGCACCTCCTCCACCTCCTCCTCCCACACAATGGCAAGCCCGAGCCTCAAAGGTACTCTCGCCCCCATCCCAAACACCCACCAGCACCACCACCCTCCCCCCCCCTCCTACACCGTCGAGAGCCACTCCAACACATCCCCTCCTACTCACCCCACTGCCCCCCCCACCAACCACCACAACGCTCACACCCCTCGTTCAAATCCGCAAACCCACACGCTGCCTTCCCCTCCGCGCCCGAAACACCCAAACCATCCCAGCCATTCTCCCTCCTCCTCCTCCTCCTCTTTCCACAAAAACACCAAACAAGACAAATCACTCCAGAGATTTAAAAACTCCGAGTCTCTGGCTCGCTCTCTCTCTCTCCTCTCCCCGCGAGCAGCGGCCAATCGGTTTAACGCGGGGATCACCGTCAACTGGGAGAGAACTCGCAACGGAGCGCCGATTCCGTTAACTAGTGCAACCCATCAATCAAGCAGCCCATCAATCAAGCAATCAAGCAGCACATCAAATCAATAAACCGATCCACGTGACGACAGACAAGACAGAAACGACGCGGCGATTTTTGGCGCGCTCGCTCGTCCGTTCCATACCTTTTCGGTTTTAATCCGTTTGGACGCTGGCGAAGATGCTCCTGCTCCTCCACCACCACCACCACCGGCCACGTCCTTCACCTCCCGTCTCCCCTCCATGGCCCTGGGCCCCACGGCCCCTCCTCCGGCGGGGGTCTCGCTCACGCAATTGGGGCCCGCGCAGTCCTTCTTGGCATCGGCCGTGCCTTGGAACACAAAGTGAAAGGGGCTTCCCTTGACACTTAATCCAAAGGGGCCCAGACCGCCGGGGAATCCTCCGGCGGCCCCGGGACCCTTCTGGCCCAGGGCGGCGGGGCCGTGCTTCTTGCCATCCTTCTTGCCCTTGACGGCGCAGGCCCCGGGCTGGTGGTCCCTCCCGCTCTTCTTGGAGCCGCTGCGGCTCTTGGCGGGAGACCGGCTCTCCTCCTTGGCCCGGGCGGAGGCCGGCGAAGCGGCGGCCACCGCCGTCGCCGCCGTCGCCGCCGAGGCCGGGCCGGAGGCCGCGACCGACGGCGCCTGCGGCCCAGCGGCGGAGGAGGCGCCGGCCGGGGGCGGCCGGGCCGAGGGCCCCCCGTGGCCCGGCTCCGGCTTCTCGGCCACCCCGTTGCCGAGCGGCGCCGGCGGCGGCCCTGTGGCCACCAGCACCGGTGGGGACTTTCCGTTCTCCTTGGAGGCCTTGCTCCGTTTGGACTTGCTCTTGCTGCTGCCGCTTCCGCCGCCGCCGGTGGCGGTGGCGCCGGCGGCGTTGTTCGCGGTGGCCCCCATCTCCTTGGGGCTCTGTCCGGAGGCGCTGAACTTTCCGAGGCCGCGCGCCACCGCGGCCACCGGTGTGGCCGTGGAGGCGTTCCCCGCCGCTAGCGCCGCCACCGCCGGGGTGGCCGTGGCCGCCAGCGCTTCGTGCTTGGCCCCGTGAGGCTTGAGCTCCATCTTCTGCCGATCCTTCTCGAGGTCTGCGTCCAGGTCGATGATCAGATCGCCGACGCCGATCTCCCAGTCATCGCCGCTGTCGTACGCGTCCGGGCCGGCGGCGGGGTTAGGCGCCGAGCCGCTCGTCGAAGCGGACATTTCCCGAGGCGGGCCCCAGGGCGCTCCGGCCGACGTCCAGCCCGAGCCGAAAGCGCGGCCGCCAACAACACGGCATCTGCCCTCGCCGACCTCCGAGGGCTGGAACACCCTCCTCCTGCTCCTGCCGCTCACCACCACCACCACCGCCGCCGAAGCAGCTGCAGCTATCTCCCCTCCTCCTCCTCCACCTCCTCCTCCACCTCCCCCCCTTCCCCCTGGTGATGCTCCTCAGCCACCAGCAGCACCACCACCAGTAGCACCACTACCAGCAGCAAAGACCACCACCAGCAGCAGCAACAACACCAGCACCAACACCGCCTCTTCCACCTGCCGCTGCCGCTTGCGCCGATCTCTCCTCCGCTGTTCCACCACCACCAATCACCTGTGGTGACAACACCACCACCAGCACGGGCAGCACCACCACCAGCTGCTGCTGTTGTGGTTGCTCCCACTGATCCTTCAGCCGGTGTTCCACCACCACCACCACCGCCACCGAGCACCACCAGCAGCAGCAGAAGAAGAAGCTCCAGCACCGACAGCTCCTACGCCGCACTGCCCCGAGGAGTCATGCGGAGTCCGTCTTGCAAGCCAGCAGCAGTCTGCCACGGGACAGCACAAGCGGTTGTGGTGGATGTAGTGACGAGGATGGGGGAGGATGGGCGAGGATAAGGGGACGGACACGAAGAAGGATGGGGGTGGTGGGTTGGTGGTGGTGGTGGTTGGTGGTGGTGTTGGTGACGGAGCGGGAGGAGGATGAGAGTGGAGGGAGGAGACAGGGAGGGAGGGAGATGGTGGTCGTGCAGTGAGCAAAGAGTTGGCAGAGAGAAGGAAAACAACGTTTGCCTCGAGTCAGCTGGATCTCGGCCGTGCTTGCGCGAGTGTTTTGGAGTGAGAGTGCGTGCGTGAGTGCGTGCTTTTGAGTGTGTATGGGCAGCAGTAGCGCTACCAATCTGGCGACCCGAGTTCCATTCCCTCTCTCCACCCAAATGCGGTCGCGAATTTCTGAACCGGTCCGGGGCCTCATCTAGGTCGACTAGACCTTAAATTACTATCCGGTGCGGTGTGTATAAACCTCAACGCTAGGGAGACAAAGGCGGCCGGGCGTGGTGTTTGGCCACACCATCCCCTAATGTGCTGTGGCAGCCTTCCTTCACAGGTGCTCCTCGCTAAGAGCACTTGCCCCAGCAGTGTATTAAGGCTACACGGGGGATCTTTGTCTGTGTGAGTGAGCGCTTTTGTGTGCCTCGGGACACACCATCCCCACGTGGAAACAGCCACCGACTTGCCTTGGGGCTACGTTCCTCACTCGACATATTTCCCTCGAACGCTGCCAATGCTGGCTTTGAGTATGGATTATCGGCATAAGGCACTACCACGAGAGTGCAATGTATGCCTATCCATAGTAACCCAATATTATGAATGTACCATCATTTTTAAAAATACTAGGTTGTTATTCTACCATTGTCAATCCATTGCGACGGGTGACAGTCCATCTCGCACCTGCACGCGGAGCTAATCTATTTGGATAAAAGTTTTGTGGAAATAAGACTGATAAAAAATAAAACAAATTTGCACCCTTCCTTGCAAGGTCCTCATCCCGACTTCGTGAGCCAAACAACAAATGTGTGCTTCTTGCTTATTCCGTCAAACAAAACCATTTAGGATCACGGTGGTGAACGAAACTTGCAACTGACGGTTTGTCAATTTGGTTACGGAGTACAGAATAGTTAAAAATATGGTGCCACTGTGACAGAGAATAGTTT